TTTTGAGTCAAGATTAATGATAAATCATGATATCAATACCTCACCAACCGAATAAGAATGCAGAACTCAACTAAGTGCTTGTTGATATTCAATCATGCCATCAAGGAAAATAACAACTCCACAAAAAAATGAATGGGGAACTCTTAATACAATCAAGCCCATTCCTCAAGTGCACAGAAACTAAGCCCAATTTGCTGGAGATTAGGCCCATATTTTCTTTTGTGACTTTTCTCGTTGTGAAGCAGTGAGTCTTCACTATAAAATGGCATAAAATGAATTTATAGGTGGTTGAATGAAGTCAGTTGAACCTTCATTTACTTATAATGAATAAGAATTGAAATCATTTTGATAATTGTGTTGAGTTTCTTGCATTTACTAAATTACAAGTAAGGGAATCAATTCATTCCTTTACTTTCACTTGCGTTTACTTACACGTAAGAAATCAGAAAATTATAAGTTTTCTCTTGAAATCCATAATCAATACCTAAAAATCAAGAATTAGACTGACTATGGGAGGACTAGTCTAAGTAGGAAATACTCATTATAAACGCGGAAACTTAGTTGGGAGAAACGTCAACTAAGACCATACTACATGATAGCAATGCAGTAAACATTGGTGATCTTTGAGATCGATTGGGAATTAGCTTTGAAGAAACCTTTTTAGTTGAGTTGTAGAATTATTTTGAGAGTTAAGTTGATTGAAGAATCACTCAAATTTATTTATTTTATTTTTTTATGTTGAAATTGAATTTGACGAAGTCATGAGCTTGGAGGCTTTTGCTTCTAATAGTTGAGGGTATATCAATCATTTGGTTGTTGCAATATTTGCAATTCGTGCTGTGATGTCACCCGTCTCTATATTCCTGCGTTCGTACGAGATCACATCGCATAAAAGCTTGTCTATTGACGTATTCGTCGTGGCAATGGAAGAGCGAGATTCTCAGTGCTTCTCATGCCTTCGTGGATTGATCGGTCTGGTCATTGGGATTTGGTCATCGACTTTTCATCACAGGCCCAACTGACACGCCTTCGGTTTTAAATAAGCATTGCCTTGCCCTTTGGTAGGACTAATTTTTATTTATGGTCCGAACATGATCCTTTTGTATTATCTTATTAGTGTAGTTTTGTAATAATATAAAATCAGAAAATTTGGGTGTGATCCTTAAATAACCTACTCTATTTTCTTTTAACGATTTTTTGTTGATTCAACGATGAATCATACAACAACAACAAAAAAAATAAAAAATAAAAAAATTACACAATAAATATCTTAAGAGCCAAATTGGATGAGAGATGATGGATTAGACGGGTCGAAGTACACATCAAGCCTTGTCATCGAAACTAGTTTTGTAGTTATACTCTCTTCCTACAAAGAGGTAGAAATAATCAAAACCCCTAACTCACATAGCCTACTTCCTTCTTAGTCGTCGAAGCAATTAGAAAGAAATGAACTCCCGCTAGAACGCCTACCCCGATCCCTTTAACCCCAACTAGGTGGAATTATTGATTACAATCTATATAATACATCAAGTAATATATTAGGTGGTTTTTTAAACCAAAATTGCTCGGCACCATGAAACAAACCAAATCTAGCCAACTGATGAGATTCGCTTGACAGCTTACATAGGTAAAAGTTGAAAGATCTAATTCTTCCAACAAAACCACTGCATCTTAAATCACCATGCCAATCCCAGAAGTATCAGGAAATTTATTTTGCACTTTGTTTCACAATCTGAATCGACACCTTCAAAATGTACTCGCTAGTAGCCCAAAGAAATTGCTAGTCGAAATTCAATGAAAAGGTATGTACACGCTCGAAATTGTCAAATTTTTTTTTTTTTTTTGTTATGATTTTGTATAGAGTTGTCAAATTTTTCTCTTGTTCTCTATGTTAATTTATCTTATTTCTAACACGACACATTTAATGTTGTTTTATTTAATACAAGTAATACTAGAAAAGGAAAAAAGAATGCATGACCTCGTGAGGTGGGAAATTGAGCTACAAACTTGTTGAGAATTCTATATGCTTTAGCTCACTATCAATAATGTTATTCTTATCATGTTTTGTACCATAATTGTATACCACATTAGGTGGCATTTGATATGGACAACCACATCATTTAAATTAATTAGCATTTAATTTCAATTAAAAACTATTCAATAAATCAATAATTAATAAAAAGCTGCTTAATTAAATGATGATTGTAGTATATAGCAGTCTCCTTCTTCCTTTCCTTTTTAATCCTGCTTCTTCCTTTCCATTTCTATTTCACATTACGTTTTTTTATTGATTTCTATTTATTTCCATGATTATGATCAAACTTTATAGAATTTGCTCGTATACCACAATCACCATTGATTTCTACCTCCAAGCTCATGCCTCATAGCCCAGTCCTCTTTCCTCTTCAAGTATTTCAGTCTCCAATCTTCACTGGTACTCCATGGCTTTTCATCTCGTGATTTTTTTCCTTTATTTTTTTCAAAATTTTTTGTGTGGTTTAAAAGAAGGATTTCATATGATTATTTCATTAAATAATGCCTATTAGCTTTCATGAGAATTAGAAGTTAAAATCAAATGTCTATCGGATTAGGGTTCATACCCAATTAAGTTATTAACCCAAGAGAGAAACTTGAAGTCTGCAATATCCCTTCTTTAAGTGTTTTAATTAACAAGAAAAATTGAAATTGAAATTGAAATTGAAATTAAAAGGTGTGGCTTGTCCAACTCATGTACCACCTAAGATGGTAAAGAAATGGAGTAATGCTATTCTTACCACAATTTTATACCACATTTCTTTACCATCTTAGGTGGCACATGAGTTGGACAAGCCACATCATTTAATTTCGCTTTCAAATTTTCTTGTTAATTAAAACAGTTAAATAAGGAAAATTGCAGACTTTAGGGTTAATAACTTAATTGGGTATGAACCCTAATCCGATAAACATTTGATTTTAACTCCTAATTCTCATGAAAGCTAATAGGCATTATTTAATGAAATAATCATATGAAATCCTTCTTTTAAACCACACAAAAAATTTTGAAAAGAAAAAAGGAAAAAAATCATGAGATGAAAAGCCATGGAGTACCAATGAAGATTAGAGACGGAAATACTTGGAGGGGAAACAGGATTGGGGCTACGAGGTATAAGCCTGGAGATAGAAATCAATGGTGATTATGGTATACGCACGAATTCTATAAAGCTTGATCATAATCATGGAAATAAACAGAAATCAATAAAAAACTGACATGAAAGAGAAATGGAAAGGAAGAAGCAGAATTGAAAGGGAAAGGAAGAAGGAGACTGCTCTATACTACAATCATCATTTAATTAACCAGTTTTTTTATTAATTATTGATTTATTGAATAGTTTTTAATTGAAATTAAATGCTAATTAATTTAAATGATGTGGTTGTCCACATCAAATGCCACCTAATGTGGTATACAATTATGGTACAAAAACAAGATAAGAATAGCATTATTGAACGAAATGTGGTATAAAATTGTGTTAAGAATAGCATTGCTCTTTAACAATTATTAAAAAACAAGAGACCAGTTTACATGAGTGCAACGTCGTGCAAATTATATGATTTTATGTACAAGTGTCTTTCTACATGTTTGTCATTGGTTCTTAAATGCTACATGCAATTCACCAAATTGTAAAGGCAAATGCTTTGAATGAAGGAAATAAATTTAGAATTTAGACAAAAGTCAAAATTTGTAAATTGACATGCATAAATATTTTTTTTTTTGCTTGGACTCATGAATATAGAAATTTAGACTTTCTGTTTAAGAAAAAAAAACATTTTGGGACTCAATTTCCCAAGTTTAATTTTATGTAAATAGTTTTCAAAATTTCTATGAGTGAGAATTTAAAAACAAAAATATAAAAAAAAACTCAACCATGAGTGGTCACCATCATTACCACATACCTTTGCCACCGCCACCATCACCGCCGCCACTACCACCACCAACCACCACCGCCGCCTCCACCCACTATCATCATCGCCATCACAAATGCTGCCGCAACCACATAATAGCCACATACGTTGTCGGCGCTGCCGTTGCCGTCAACCCCACCCACAATCATCACCTTCGCCGCCATTGTCAACTATCATCACTGTCATCGCCACCACGATTACTAGTACATTTCCTAACTATAATCTAATTTTATATATTAATGACTCTATACACACATTAATTTTATATTTAAATTCCATTGTTCATACCAAGGTTCTAAAAGTCGTTAGGCGCTAGTCGGGCGGCGGGCTGGGGCCTAGTGCCTAGGCGGCTAGGCGGGGCCTAGGCGGGCGCCTAGGCGGACTAGGCGGATTTAAGTAAATCTATCATATTTCAGGTAAATAAGTGTCTGCTTCTACTTGAAATATATATAATTTCATCGTAAACTATAAAATAGAATGCATATATATCATGAAGTATTGGAACATAATGAAAACATGTGAAATAAGGATACAATGTTTGTTCATTCAAGTATGCAACAAGTCTCTTACAATTTATTGGAAAAAAACAAAATGCAAAATGAAAGTTATGTATTTTCTGTCTAAGTGAGTTGAAACCTAGGCGGGTCTAGGCGGGTGCCTAGGTGGTCTAGGCGGTGGGCTGGGGCCTAGGCATTAATCGGGACGGTGGGCTGGGGCCTAGCGCCTAGGCGGGGCCTAGGCGGCGCTAGGCGGGGATTTTTTAAAACAGTGGTTCATACATTCTGAAAAATAAAATATCTTCATTGTCCCCAATCAAACAGAGTGTAAAAGTCATTCTATAAATACAATGAGAATGGAAACAGCCAAAGAGAAAATTCCAGGAACTCCATTTTCACCAGAAAGAAAGGAAATAACTTCACGAATCTCCTTGTCCTCCTACCATGTACACGTGTAGCAAACCCTGCTGTATCTATCTCAAGCCACGCAAAATAAAGATTCATATGGACCCCATCAGAATCCCAACAAAATATAACGGTCAACAATATTCAGCCCTCTTCCTCTGTATATGTCCCTCAAAAAACAAAAACTAAAAAATAGAAAAAAAAAATGGAGCCTCTCTGCCGAAACTTGGATCTCAAACCAGCAACTTTCCCACCAATTTCACCAAGATTCCCAAAACCGATTTCGCTGTCACTGCGTTCTCCTCGGTTTTCGTGCTCGGATCGCCAGGTGACCAAGAAATGGAGGGTGTCTGTTGGCAATGCTAACTCTGAAGCTAAGTTTTCCAGTCAGGAGTTGGTGAGGGCAATTGGAAAAGGGTTGCTCGCATTTGCCGCTGCCGCTGCTGCAAATTATGCTGTTGTTTGTTGTGATTATCCGGCAATGGCGGAGTCTCTGACGTTGGCTTTTCCGGTGTCACGCACTACTGAGGTGATTGATTTTGTTCTCTTATTTCTGACCACTCACCAGTACTAATCAACTTGTGAGTTTAATTATGTATGTATAGATAACCTAGATGATATGCATGTTTAACTAAAGACAAGAGTAAAAAAACTGCAAACCAAATTCATGAATAATTAAGTATGCAGATTAAGAAAAATGGACAAGAAAAAAAGACGACTTCTTTATTCAATACCAATTAAACATATTTTTTTCTAAGAATACAAGAATCTGACATCTGACAATTGACATATTAAATTTCCTTATGTACTGAATCACTCTTAATGGTACCGAGGCCTTTTGTGATAAAAACCTCACCCTTGCCAGGTAGTAAGATTCAAATTGGGGACGATATCAGTGTGGTTAGTGGTGGGCTTCTAACCTGTGTTTCAAAAATCTTCACAAGGTTTTCATGTTAAATCAGATTATTGGTTTTTTACATTACTTAATGTTTATTTGATTGATAACCAGGTTTTCCTAATTTAGTTAGATTTCTTTCTCTCATCAATTTGTTACTGTGTGTTTCTACTTTTTGCCACAGAACATAATACAGTTATTGCTCAGTTGGTTGTTCTTAAGTCATATTTTGACTGTACTTGGATCACAAATTTGATGCCAACGACTAAGTCAATAAAGTTTTTGTTTGTCAGGTGAATTCAGTACAAAGAACTCTTGTGGAGACTTGGGGTTTGATTAGGGAAACATTCGTAGACCCGACATTTAATCATCAAGGTATTGCTGTCTTTTATCCTGCTTTTATCTAACCGAGGATTAACGCACAATGCACACCAATGGTTGAATTGAACTTAAAGTTTATTTATACTCCACTGATTCTAATGTTCAAGTTCTAATTTTTGAGTACTTCGGTTATTTTCAAGAAATGAAACTGCTATAGTATTTGGAACTTCAACTTGTTTTTTCCTCCCATTTTGGGGTTTTCTAGTGTTGAAGATGTGAATTCTTTTTCTGTAGACTGGGATCAAAAGTTTCAGCAAACGATGACAGAAATGTTTCCCCTTAAGTCTGCTGATGCAGCATATATGAAAATCAGTGGAATGCTATCTACTCTTGGCGACCCCTTTACGCGGATCATCAGTCCCAGGGTCTGCTTTTTTACGTGGATGCATTCCATCTCTCTGCTATTTCACTCTCACTTTGGTTAAGCTGGCAATTGCTATACAGAATTCTTTGAACAATTCAGTTTAATCGTGATATGATCACATTAGCTAATGTTTAACTGTATATGTCTAACTTGAATAAAAAATAGTTATAGCTATCAGCTAATTACGATTTTCACTCACAGGAATATGAAAGTTTTCGTATTGGAAGCAATGGAAATCTACAAGGAGTTGGCCTTTTCATAAATACTGAACCAAGAACAGGCCATTTGGTTAGTAAGAGGCCAAATTATGCTTTTCAATTCAAATTTTTTAGCAAGTAAACATATGGAAAACTGATACATGCAGTTCCTGGGATATATGGTTTAGTCAAGCGATTAAGACAGTTAACGAATCAATGATGTTTACAAGTTCACTCATAGTTTGACAAACTATACATTGTTCTAAAAAATTTGCAAAAACCTATTTCAAAATTTATCATGTATTTTTCGAAGCTTAGTAGTTGTTTATTATATAGTATTGACTTTACAATTCCCTTATTAAGCTGTTCATCTGGTAGATGATTTTTATTGGACATTGCAGGTTGTTTTGTCTTGTGTAGAGGGTGGCCCAGCTGCTCGCGCTGGTTTACATCAGGGAGATGAGTTGGTTGAAATTAATGGTACATCAAACTTCCAAACATTTGATATTTATTTTGTGACGCTGGAAATGAAAATATCGTATTTGGTAGTCGAATTGTACCTTGCATTGCATACAATCTGCGGATTCAAATAATCAAAATATATTAAATTCTTTATGGAGCAAGCCTGCTCAAGTGAAATCACGTTGTTGATTAGTAAAACTGATATATGGAACTCGCCACTGAATTGTTTTGCTCCTTCAAATTTACCAAATTCTTCTTTGGACTATAAAATTAAAAATACTTAACTAGTTTTTCAATGCAGGATGTTCCTTAATCAAGAGAATGTATTCCAAAATTTCAACTTTGTACTGTTTTTCTGTTTACGTTTTAGCTCACATTTCATTATCTCAAATACGGTCCTTATGACTTCAGGAGAGAAGGTGGATGGTATTGACATTGAAGTAGCCATACAGAAACTTAGAGGTCGAGTTGGAACAACAGTTACAGTAAAAGTTCACAGAGTAATAATCAGCTCTCTTTGTTTTCAAGTTGTAGCAGAAATTATTTGTGATGTATTGACTTATCCTGTAGAGTATGGCCAGCAATTGCAAATTGCTTTAGATAACTAATTTCACATTCTGTTTCCCAGGGCAATGATTTCGCTGGAGATTCTAGTATAAAAGAGGTAATAGACCACCTATTGGATTGGGTTTCGTTGTGTAATACATTTGGTTTCTTTGTGTCGGTGTCAAGCAAGCGCATGTACTTGATTAACAATGGGTTTTGGTAAACCAATCTGAAAAATGACCCATCTGATTGAAGGTGAAACTACCTCGTGAGTACATTAAGCTTTCCCCGATTTCAACTGCTACCATCCCACATAAAACCCCAGATGGACGTTTAACGAAAATGGGTTATGTGAAGTTGTTAGCCTTCTCTCAGGTAATTCTTACTTTCACTTTTCTGTTAGCAATGCAGAAAATAAAAATCCACCTTTAAAGAAGTAAAATAATTGCTTCCGCGCATGGAATCATGGTCATATAATTGATTATCAATTGTTGCTTTTATCACATATTATATGTTTTTACAGCCCTTCATTCTATTTTGGCAGACTGCTGCAGCTGATATGGAAAATGCTATTAATGAAATGAAGAGTCAGGGTGTACACTCATACATACTGGATTTACGGAACAATCCGGTAACCTTTTCATCCTCATTTACCTAAAAAAAGCTTTCTACTAGCTCATTTTCCGAACCTTTTGGTGGTTACTCAGTGTGTTTCTCTTTTCCAACTAAATTCTTCAGGGGGGACTGGTAAAAGCTGGACTTGATGTTGCACAAATTTGGCTAGACGGGGATGAAACTCTAGTGAATACAATTGATCGGGAAGGCAATCTTTTACCCATCAACATGGTCAATGGGCATGCTATAACACATGATCCACTTGTTGTGCTTGTAAGTTTTGAACTTTATATGTAAATTTCATTCTAGTAGGAAGCCATATGAACACCTGTTGACATGTTCTTATGAGCTTTTCATCCGAAAAGTATGCAGTTTCTAAAAATTAGCATGTTCATCTTTTTTTTTTTTTTTTTTTTTTTTTCTTCAGAACTGTGCAGTCTGTGTAACATTATGCCAAAGCCTTTTGTTTTCTCAATTTTGCTAGATACTAAGTCTTTTGTTTACAATTGCAAATAATACGTTCTCTCTCATGAAAATTGATATATGCGCAAAATGTCAAAATTTGTCACTCGAATAGTTGTTTCTTCTTTATCTTCATATTCACAATGGCTTCCGAATCTTCTAATATTCGAAACAGGTTAATGAGGGCAGCGCGAGTGCAAGTGAGATTCTGGCAGGGGCACTACATGACAATCGCCGAGCCACTCTTGTGGGGCACAGAACCTTCGGAAAAGGAAAAATCCAGGTAGCCGGTTCTTCTAAAGCACGAAAAATTTAATGTAGCTAATTACATCAACAACTCAAGCTAAGGTGCACAATACAAATTTAGCTCCATTTCCAAGTTACAAACTTCCTAGGTAGCTGAGCTACGATGCGTTTCTTCTCTGCAAGCACCATAGCTCTTGTTTTTTCATTCAGTGAACTAACAGTAATATGTTATCTCACCTACAATGACCACTGCTACACTTACTCTAAATTTATCATGGTAAAAAAACCTGTCATTGTTTTACTATTCTACATCTTGATCAAGTCTCAAATTAGTGGCTATGGTGTTGCTTGTTTCCCTAATGCTCCTTCCTACAGAGTGTCACAGTGCTACATGATGGATCAGCTTTATTTGTCACGGTGGCTAAATATTTATCGCCAGCGCTTCATGACATAGACCAGGTTGGCATTGCACCTGATGTTCAATGCACAACTGAAATGCTCAATTCTCCCAAGGAATCGACGTCGAAGGAGAAGAGCTCAGTCTCATCATCTCGAGAAGCAGATTCATGTGTCTTGGTAGCCGAACATGAATTGGACATTCAGGAATCCAAAGGCACTGCTTCTTGAAGACAGGATCATGCAGTAATTTAAATTTGTATAGCGTAGGAATTGACGGTACAGATGTGAAAATGAAAATGAAATAGAACAGGGTCTGCTTATACTTGCCTTTCCACATCGTGTGCAGGTAAGAAGTACAAGGTTAAATAGGTTACAGTGTACTGATCCAAAATTTCAGATGCATAATTTGTGCGTAATTCCTTCTTTGTTTTATGTTTTTTAAGATACAATGATGTATTTATACTAAGGGGAAATAATTCATGTTAAGCTACGTAATGAGCAGCTACAATAAATTGATATCAAACTCGTCATACATGAAAGTCAAATCTAAGACCTATTTAACTGTAAGAAGAATACATATTGACAGTAATATTACGTGGCTAGTGAAGGACTTATTTTTAGCTTTTTTTAGACATGTCAATTGTACTCTACACAAATTCTTGCCCTACTCATAATTAACACTTCATTATGTATCACATTAATCCATGCGCTCTTCGTTTGTGTCCCATTTTACTGAGTCTGCCACTGAGTTGAGAAAAACGTTAGTTTACTTTAGTGGCATGAGCTCTTTGATCATTTCAATAATGAATATTAATAGGTTAAGGATATTGAAATCAAGAAACTAAGCCATTTAGAGTTGTCAGGAATAAAATTTGTAGTGATTTAGGCGGGGGTTTTTGTTTTTTGATTTTCATGCCAGAGTGATTTTTGCTGTTTCAGATGCCCTAAATGTGAAAACAAGTTGAAAATTCTAAAGGGGCCATGCCTCGTCAACGAAATTAATGTTTCTTTCAACTTAGTTGACGAAACGGAGTAAAAAAGGACACAAAAAAAATATTACAAGTGGAGTATTAAAAAGTGTATTCTCGGTTATGTTACATAAATTAAGAGTTCTTGACATTCACTCTTCAACTTGAGAGGAGTATTAGAAAGTGTATTCTCAGTTTGGAAGTTTTCATGTAATTGATTTGTAATTAATTTTGTTTGTGTTACTATTGTATTCCCAGATTGGAGGATTCTTTATTGTACAAGAAAAAACTCTTGTCTATATCGTTAACAAATCAATAAAATTATTGAGTTGTGCTAAATACAAATTTCTACAGTAGCTGGCCAAAAAGAAGAAAATGAGAGGTGTCAGTGTAGGTGTGAGGCGACGCTACTTTGACAGGTTGGAGTTGCGTTAGCCACTTTTACTCAAACATCAAGACTTTTTGGCTGGCTGGCTTCTTGTGATTTGTTCACACTAGTAGTTTGGATTGTTCATAGGTGGATTGGTTGCGAGGGATGGGGATTTTCTCCTCATCCTTTTTACGGGGATCATATATTGTGCGATCAGTTTTTGTTAGATACTATTTATGTTTAATTTTAAATAAAAAAATTCAAATAATTTTTTACCGTATGATATACGAGAAATAGTTAGAATGTAAAGATCTTTAAGATTCCTACAATTTGAATCCTGATGAAATCCAAATCTGTCGTCAAGGACCATACCAATTAGCAATTACCAAACCTCGTGTGGGAGGCCAATAATTCGGTTTGATTATTTGCCTTACATGATTGGCAGCATCATCGTGAGTTGGTTCTTTCGGATTTGGATTCTCTTCGAGGCAACTGGTCGGGATCCTCCTGATCAGTGTTTGTGGAAATCCAAAGGCTACAATTATTATAACTTTTAGAAGGCCTCCTATTTGTGGTCGTTGGATAAAAATCCAACGGTCCACGAACATTGGTCAAGGGGATCCCGACCAGTTGCCTCGGAGATGATCCAAATCAGGTTCTTTCTTAAGTTAAGTTGGACATTGGGGAGCCACATATAATATCAATTTCGTTCTTTCTAAGGGCATGTTCAATATTTGAATAATGAATTATATATTCATCCAAATTAAAATTCGATTGGTTGGCCACATAATATTATGGTTTATTGGTATTTATCTTCACTTGTAAATGAGAGGTTTTTAGGTTCAATTCTTGCAAAATAATGAGATGTTTTTAGGCTCATTATGAAACTTAATCTACTCCCCTCTTTTTAGTGTAAATAAATTCGATGAGTTGTGTGGATGCAAATTTCCGCCGTCTTTAGTCTTGATGAAAATACACCTGCAAAACAATTAACACCTTTGATAAGAGACTTAAGCCTCATGCGCCCACGAGGTGGGGGGGGGGTTAGGTCAACGGATCTCCGATGCCTAAGTTAGTTTCTTTGAGAGAGTAAAGTGTTTTAAGGCTTTTTAGGGTTGTCCAAAGCTCTAAGAAATTGGTAGAATATGGAGTATTTATAGGGCTAGGGCCGGCCATTTAGGGTTTTAATGGAGAAAATATTCTCTAAATATTCCCAAGATATTTAATAGGAGATAATATCTTGTGATAATAGGGCAATAATCCCTAATTGGTTTAAATTAGGATTACTTATTTGATTGGAGTCAATCTTCAATTAGGAATGTATTAAAGATAGGATTTGGGTAATTAATCCTTATCTTTAATTCCTTGCCATGGGCAGATGAGCTGTGGGCAGTTGTGTTCAGTTGCTGAGTCATCCAAGGATGTGAGCTACGCGTGGAAGAATCTGAGAAGCCTGCTCATTTATTAAGGGCAATCTTGTCCTTCTTGAATAAAAGTCCACGGGTCGCCACTAGAATTTTTGGGATTATTTTTGGCTCCACAAATGCCCCCACACCTACTGTGCTGCACGCATGGATAGGGCAGTAGGTGTAGAAATCCCAAGTTGCTTGGGTTTGTAGAGTTGTTTCCCAATTTTAACTTGATCTTCTTCCTTGATTGGGAGATAGACTTCTTCTAGAAAAAGGAAAATAATTGCCCCCAATACCTATTTAATTTTTCCTTAAGCAGGGGATTAAATAAATTTGGAGAACAATCATTATTCCAACAAGAAAGAGAAGTCGGAGGATATTTTTTCTTCCCCCTCCCCTAGCGTTCTTCTTTTCTTGCCCTTGCGAAAAGTCGTTTCTCGTTGTCCTTCTTTTTCTCTGTCCCGCACCAAGGTAAGAAAAATTTGAATTTTTTCTTCTTAAATTTTTGGGAGCCTTGGGCTTGAAAAGTTGGCTGGATGGGTGTCCTGGTTGTTGGTGACACATGCCATGGATGCCGTGGGTTGCTGTGCACGAAAAGGCAGCATATTGATGCGGCATAGGGTGAGCTAACGCAGGCCAGGTGGTCGACGAGAGGGAGAGAGAGATCGGCACGGGCCGAATCTCTCTGGCTGGTGCATTAGGCTTGGGCCCGCTGAAAGTTGGAGAGGCCGGCTCAGGCCGGTCCTCTTGCTGATGCATGCGGCTTGGGCCATAAGGCCTGGGCTTGCCTTTTGGGGTGCTTAGCGCGTGGAGGAGGAGAAAGGAAAGGGGCATGGGCCTCCATTTCTACTGGCCTGCGTCCGCGCGGCTTCTGTTGGGCCATATATATATGCACACATCTTTTTTATTTTTTATTTTTTATTTTTTGTGTGCAAGGTGCTTTATGAATATTTCCTTCATCCTTTTTTTTTTTGCAGAGACTTTGAGATGTCTTCCTCTGATCGCAAAAATAACGAATATCCTCCACCTTTGTACCGTCAAGGTGGTTCTTCTGGCAAGGTGGGTTACTTCAAGGCTGCGCATGTGAAGATCAATTTCGACGAGCTGTTTAGGGATTTTCTTGAGGCGTACAAGCATGAGATTCCGTCTAGGGTTCGCGTCAAATGGGTGAGAGATGATAGTGGCCATGAACCATGTGGAGAGAATGCCTCTGCTAGGAAAAGAGCCATCAAATTCCATTACTTTGTGTTGGAATTCACTTTTCCCATGCCGCGTCTTTTCCAGGAGGTGATCTGCTCCATGAAATGCACGTTTGCTTAGTGCTCTCCAAATGCAGTTAATGGGGTGGTGGGATTTTCGAACTTAAGCAGGTTCTTTGATCTTGGCTTGACCATAAATGAGTTTTGGTATTTCTTTGAGATCGGCCACAAGGAGGGTGTGGGGCAGCTAAGTTCTCGCCATAGGCTATTCGATGCTTCTAGCAAAGGTGATCATGACTGGGCGAGAAACACCTTGGAGGTGAGCGGAGAGTGGGAGTTTGACTCTTCTCCTAAGATGCGTGTCCCGACTACCTTTATTAGTGGTAAGGGAACTGCTTCATTATTGTCCTGCTTAAATTTTTGTTGACCTACTCCATGACTTCAATTTATTGATCGTTTTTCTTACTTTGTGTAGATTCGGAGTTTGGCTCAACTCCAAGGACTTCGGCAGATATGAAGAAAGTGCACGTCGCCTTGGGCATTCTTGTTGAGTACCATGAGTGGCGCTAGCTGCTCAACCCTCTTCGTGGGGAGAAATATGGTCTGCCTTCGAAGGAAGAGATAAAGCGGATAAAGGATGAGACGTTGGCTCGCCCGATCGCTGCTGTAAAGCTGGCTACCAACGAGGGTGGAAAGAAAAGATGTTCCTCAACTGCTTGTGAGCCTTCGTTCGAGAGAAGCCAATGACTTATTCTGTTGCTTGTGGGAGCTCGTCTGCTGCCGAGAAGCTTATCATTGATCTAACTTCTTCCAAGGTGGTGAGGAAGACCGTCGAGCCTAAGCCTATTGTTATTGATAATTGCAAGTGTACAATATCGTCCAAGTAATATAGTGATAAGTAGAGTGTCGTTCAAATAAGGATCGGATTAACCTAAATTTACTATTGAGATTGACTTCAAACTAAACTTAAATAAAAGATGGATAACGATGACAAATTCAAATATGCAAAAACCCAAACGAAATTGAAAATATCAATTGAACAAACACGAAGTAAAAGTGAATGAATTATGAAAAATTAATATATTGAAGCACTAGGACATCAGGTTCCTCATTCTCAATCCCATCTAATCCCGTTATTCATATTAAACTCAATTTATTCCCATGTTGCTAGCAATTATCCCTTGATTCGTCAATATTTCCTTTCAGAATATACTAACTGTGTTTCTAACTATCTACCCATGCTATGTCTAGCCACAGAAGTAGATAATCGAATCCCTTTACGCTAAATGGATAATTTCACAATACTACACAAATCATAACCAGTATGTCTACTCAATTATGTAATTCATGGTAATCGTTATGAGAAGCAATCTACTAAACTCAACCTGTCAGTCCCAATTTAGTTCTTCACACAAATAATGGCCAGTTATTTGATAACGATAAAGCACAATAACAATTACTCAACATGGAAAACAACCGAGATCAATATGAAATAATAAGAATTAGATGTTCATGATAAGAGTACACCCTAATCCTAGCAAAAG